CAATGCTGTAAGTACTCACATTCCATCTGTACAATTCTGCTGAATTAAAGAGAGAATTTTGTATGAAGTGTCATCTGATTTCCGCATATCTTTCTAGGTTAAAGAAAATTATTTGTGCCTGGCCAGGGTTGCTGCAAGCAAAGCTTCATCAGTCAAACCAACAGTTGCCTGGATGGAGTACAATGATGTTTGTATACTCTCATCAAGGCTTTTTACTGCTCTTAAACTTTCCAGATCACACAAATAAAATGGAGTTCCAATTCTGAATTATCATCATCTAGAATTTAATCCTGCATTATCAAAAAACAAGCTGCACAAATCAGTCCAAACTAAATACGGTTCAGATCGAACACTCCTTCAACGATTTCTACGCAATTATCACTGTCATGCAAAACTTGACAAGTCGCTGACAAGAAATTGCTCTTGTTTTTTTTTTTGCAGAAAATATGGTCCTTTACCGAGGAAACACTCAAAATGAAGGTAAGTCATGATAGCAATTGGTTTCCTAAAACAAGAACTGTGCCTTTCAAAAGGAAGCCTTGAATCTTGTAAAGTTAAAAGACATGCACAAATGCTAGTCTAGCCATTACGAGTATGGTTGCGAAGGCCAGCAAAATTTTCAAGTACAAAATAGGCAGATGCACTTGAAGGAGCTCTATTTTTACTAGCTACGGATTAGAGAGGTGTTGAATTTTGAAAATGCTTCCTCTGCTTTTTCTTCACTGTACTTTATGAATTATGTTTCGAAACAGTATGTGGAGGATGCTGGAGGAGAGAATGTTGATGAATCGATCAGCAAGATCACTTACAACACCTCCAATCCTGATGATTTGGAGCAGCTGCATGCCATCTTATGTGTAAGTCCATGCCTAGAGATTACTTTAGATCCCTCACCTTTGTGCTTCAGGCTTTATCTGAGATTATAATTCCATGAAATACCAGAAACTCGGTTTGTGCTTGAAGTGTAATTGTGTCGCTGATTATTTTCTAACTTGGTCAATTCCATTGCTGGTGTAATCAGACTGTCGATGTGGTCATCGACGGAACATACACTTCCAATCCCATGGGCTACGAAATGTCAACTTTTGTTGAGAATGTAGCAGTTGAAGATACCTCTTGTTTTGCATTTCTTGCAAATCAAAACCTGTGGAGATATGATAAAAGATTGCAAAACGCCAGCAACACTCTTGGTAAGTACTAAGTAGCCAATTTTTATCTACATAGGGTTGCAATGAACTCCTACTGAGAAAGAACGTGACTACTAACAGTATAGTCTAAGCTTGCTCGACTTTTGACATTTTAGCAAGAACTGACTATATGCAATAAGTCACTGGGTACTCGAAGACTCCTGGACAACCGACTGTTAACAAAAAAAAAGGAGTACAAGAATCATACCAAAGTGTTTAATTTAATAAACATATTTATTTGAGTGATACATATTACTTGATTTCTGGGAAGGTGCTAATACAATTTTCTTTGCTTTTGGGATGTGTATAATTGAAGATTGGTTTGACGGAGCAGTCTCCCAACCTCAGTTGGTTCTTGCAGATCTCATGGAAGCTTTATTCCCAACAGGAAACTATACTACTACTTACTTTAGGAATCTAGCCAGGGTAAATTGTTCAACTTTCCTTGTCGAATTATTTTATACTGTCCCCCGCAAGTCCAGAACACAGTTTTCACGAGTTAGTAGGACGATGTCATATGTAGCATGTGCCAGACATTCTAATATCGCTTGTCGAAATTGTGTCTTTCACTGAGTTGGACAAGATGAATTGTTTCTTTCCCCCTTCTCAAGCAGATGAAACCGGGGATCATTTTGACCATTAGCACTAACTTATGAGTTTCAAATGCAGGAAGAAAGAGTGGTAAACATAACCCCCGACATGTGCGATAGGGATACCTCTAGAGCTATGGAAACAACTATCATACCTTGCTCATGATTCCCCGAGGGATCAAATTCATTACATTTTAGATTTTCCTACAACAAAAGTTCACTGTTGTCATCGGTTTTTCCTGTACTCGTGTAATTTGATCGTGTTTGATTAGTTTTCAAGAGATCAGAGGTGGTGTTTCAGAATGAGGGCATTGTCATCTTTGCTTGTAATTGCTTCTAATCAATGTTCAATAGCCTCGACATTTCTGCACATGATGTTGGTACTTCCACAAAAAATCGCATCGTCAATGAACAATCCAGAATAAACAGTATGAACACGCATTAAATTGATTAGCAGCAAAAGCAAGTGGAAAGAGCGTAAAACCGATCAAATTGTCTAAACCAAATTCAGCAAAGAGATGCTATCTTGGTAACTAAAATCATGGGACAATCGCTATCTTCAGCTCATCCCTACACCAAGGAGAAGCTGTATTGGTAATTTAAGCATGGAATAACTGCAGACAAGCAACTCCTAAATTATAGGGATGATGACACAAATGGTCCCTGAACTTTAGTCCAATATACAACGTAGTTACTCTCGAACTTTTAATTTGTTCAATTTTGGCCCCAAGACTTTTGGTAGATGTTAAGTGTAGTCTCTTGAACTATATGAACATGTTCGAGATCAGGGAAACATCAAACATTTTCATAGAAAGTCAAAGAACTAAATCAAGATGTATTGCAACAAATTTCCATAGACCAACGTAAACAAATTAAAAGTTCGGAAACCATATTACACATTGGACTAAAGATCAGAGACCATATTGAACAAATCAAAAATTCAGGGACCACATTGCACATTGTGCTAAAGTTCATAGACTATTCGTTTCATTTTCCCAAAATTATTTTACGTTTGTTTGCTGGCCAAAATAATCTTAAACTTGCCGAATTAAACAAATGGACATGAATCTGTTTTGACGTTGGGCTGGGCTTACCAAGAGCATTGGGCGGGGTTGGGCCCATTCCCCCCGGGAGAAGCACCAGCACATCCGCCGTACACGTGTCCAAATCACATCCGCCGATGCTCTGGTCATAAATCTTCCCAAACTCGCGCCGTCGTTCGTTTTGCTACTTCTAGGGTTTGTTCTTGCGCCTCGTCCGCCTCTGTTCTATATAAAACGAGGGTTCTTGGCAAACTCAATCGCAATTGTAGTCTGCGACCGTGGAAGATCGAGCTTCTCCTGCGGCGGTTGAAGTGAGAATCGATTGCTTCTTCTTCCCCGTGTCCTTCCTCTCCGTTCTTCTTCTTCTTCCCCCCCTTTTTTGCTTGTGTTTTTGCTGCTTCTGGGTCGTGAAAAAGGCGTCAAAATACTGATTACCTGCGCTGTGTGACTCACCGTGAGCGCTGTGTATGAGCTGACGCTAGATTCGTCCATGTCTGCCTCCGCTTCTGCCTCGCAGTGCCCTGTTCTTCTGGCTCTCCGATCGGGCAGATTGGAGACATTCGGTTAAAAAAAGGAAAAAGATTTTTCTTTTTCTCGAAAGCGATGCAGTTCGAGTGTTTGCTGAAATGTGTTTTTTGTGTGTGGGGAAGAGAGGAGGTTTGGAGATGATGACTATTTCCCCAGATGATCGACGCTGATTATACTGTGCGCTTTTTTTTAGCGTTCCTCTTCGCTGAGGAACCAAGCCAGTATTGCTGATCCAATTCACTCCTCTTCCCGAACACAAAAACAAAAACAAAATTTTGGTTTTTTCTCGCGGCCACCGAAGTTTCCCTTTGGGTCTCGCTCGATCGATTCGCTCGAGTCGACGACGAGGAATTGGGTTGGTTTTTCAGCCGATTTGAATTCAGGGCAGAACCTGAACATTGGATTAGGGTTTAAGTAAGTGGAGGGGATTCTTGAGATGAAGGTGGAGGTGATGATTATTTCCCCAGATGATCGACGCTGATTAAACTGTGCGAACTCTATTTTCTCTCTTCTGAGAAATCCAAGCCAGGTGTCTGATCCATCTTTGTCTCGGCCCCCTCCATCATAAACCCTAAAAAGTACTAAATTTTTTTGAGGATGTATCTGAACTTGAAGTGCATTTAAATGGAAGAAAGAAATAAGAACAAAATAGCCAACCGTTTTATGCTGGTGTATGAATTTCTTAGTGTTGGGAATGAAATTGAATCCGGGATCCTCCGGATCCTTTGGAACATGCAATTTGCAATCAGAAACATCTAATATATCAAATTACCATAACTGTAAATAACTTAGGATTGATGTGCTCGTAAGGGTACACTTTTCCAAAAGATATGCGAGAAAAGGAACTTGCAATTCAAGTTCTATCTGTGTTGTGAAAAAATAAAATTTTGAGAATGACCCGTTGCATCAGTTGAAATAAATAATTGAGGAAAATGATTTCATTACAAGCTATTATTTAAAAAATATATATATTTTTTAAATTATTCGTTTTTTCATAAAACGAATGTAAATTATTAATTAGCCAGAATTCAAACAGATTGTGTCCTTTGGTAGCTGAACTCACCCCAAAGTATGATTCATCTAATGATTTGTGAGATCAACAAAAGTCAGTAACAAAGCTATCGAAATCTGAACTGACGATTTCGATTGTTGTGGGAGATACGAGGAACCCAGTCTATCACAAACCTCGAATTACACAATATGGAATGCGAAACCAAATGATAGAAACATTTTGAGCTTTTGCCCAATCACCCTTTACACATGGTTAATCAAGGCCTGTATACCACAGAAAACCATAACTATATATCATCACATACATATCCAGCATTGATCTTTGAGCAACTGAATCCGAGGGACCATTGCAGAGTGTGCTGGGTTACAGTTCAAGTAACTAACCTTTTCGAACTCGATGTTCTGAAGAGTCAGCCGAAAAATTCATAGCCTGAGATTGGACATGCTACTAACACAAAATGTAAATTGCCAGAGATGACTTCATCAAATCCTGCCATTCACTATACTAATGCAAGATATTACTCGTGCAAAAGGACAAACATAAGTTCTGTTATTGCTCCCTAGAAGTATCTTGTATCCTAGCTTGTCTGGGAAAAATAAAGAGAGGATAAAACGAAATCTTGTGTCCAATGATTCAAACATCAGTCAGCACATTCCATTTCGAGGGGACGCGGAGACTGAATACAGTCAATTACATCGGAACAATAAGTTATGCAATCCACAAGGGTTCTCTTATACCTCAGCCTCCACTGAACTGCTAGTTTCCACCTCTCCAATGCCCTTTCGATCTTCCAAGACATAGATTCTGCAACATTAGCTATGCTTTGAAGGCCAAGGCTTTCTAAAAAGGCACAGCCTTCAGCTCCAAGTTTCAAAAACACGTCAAAAAGCTCCACAGGGGTTTCGATACCATCCACCTGGTTCAGGCTACATAGGAGACGTTGGTCATCTTCAATTGTAGTGGGCAGGTTTTGAAGAACATTATTGCAACACTTCAACATTAGGTGCATAACACGCATCTCATTTTCTGGAGAGAGTTGAGACCCTGAATATGCCAGATGTCCCACAGATCTCCGCTGGTTTGAAGGGATGGCCCATAGTCGCAACGTGGACAACAGTGCATAAGAAGGCTCACCACCTTGATTAATGTACAGAGATTCTGTAGGCCATGAGCTGCAAGAAGACACCCCAGGTTCGATGGGAATGTATACCTTGTCGTTTGGATTGTTGTCGAGAAGAAAACCATAATGCTCCAGCAGCTCCAAATTAGTGTATGTACCATAGCTCAAGAGAATCTGCATATGACAGGACACCGTTAGAGAGTATATTGCCCTCATCCTCAGAAGAGCAAAGTATGATATGGCCAAGCATACTGATTATTCGACCAAACAGAATGGTCTGGCTGAAAAGGGGCACCGAGACTATGTTTGACCTATTAACATGATAAAAGAAGGCCAGACTGGATGGTTTTTTTTTGTTTTGTTTCGACTTTATCTTGACTAGGGCCAGCTCTCAGCCATTATACCTCAAACTGAACATTTTCATTTTTAGGTCCATACAATATTTAAAGGAAGTTACAACAGCAGTTATTTTGACATTATCAAACCTAATGGAGAGAATTGAACAAAAAACATAGGGAGACAAGATACTCTGCAAGCGTGGGCTTCAAATCCAACTGCTAGGTTGGAGAATAAAACAACAAATGGCAACTATCAAGAAAGTAAGATAACTACATCTAACCGCTACTTAAAAAAGATTTGTCACTATAAACACCACAGATGTGCATACATATTCAAGGGGTAATTTGGGCTTGAGCTTTCTTCACTGACTTACGTTACCGGCAGAGTGAAACTCTGAAGCTTAAGTAATTTCTACAATATCTAATACAGTATGTAAGATGCACTAAGTAGTCAAATGCCCACATCCACATGCCAAGTGCAAAAATTCTAGCAAAACTGTGAATTGGTAATGAAAGTGTACAACTTCCGGAGGGAGACAACACAAAATGATCCAAGGATTGTCCCACAGCGACACATGGAGGAATATCCAAAATTAGTCCTACAAGAAAAATGAGGCTTGAGGGCCTTTATCTTGTGCTCCAAAAGTGGATGCTACAGAAATTGCAGAACTACTAGATGTTAAGTGGTATATACACCTGGCTTCTAAGTTACTTTGATCTGGCTTGTGGTTGCATGGAAGTTTCTTTTGTGAATGAGGGTCAAGTTGAACTTGCCAGCCTCTTTCAAACAAACCAAGAGCCAGTAAAAATTATGGGCAAGCATCAGTTGGAGTAGAAGGCCAAATGGA